ATGTTGCTCTTGCTAGTAAAAATCAGCCATCAGTTGAGTTGGTTTTCGTTGTATCCTCAGATGACGAAGGTAATGGTATTATTTATAATATCTTTTATTTAAATCTTGCAATTAGAAAGACCAAAATCGATCAAGAATAATTATAATTATTGATGCTATCATTTGGTTAGGGAGGCAGGGCTTGGCGTTAAGAGCTCATAAGATATCTCCTGGCCCCCTAACACTTACATCCCCTTCTCACAATGAAGGAAATTTCAAGGAATCATTGAAATTTTTATGTAATAATAATGACAACTACCTAAAGCTTTTTGAAAGCTCCTCTAAAAATGCTACTTACCTAAGTCCCACTATTCAAAATGAAATAATATCAATATGCAATCAGTTTATATTAAAGGAAGTTTCTTCAAAAGTCAAAGCATCACCATTTTTTAGTGTTTTGGCGGATGAAACTTCCGATATTGGTAATATTGAACAACTAATTATAAAATGAAGGAACTATTTGTTCAATATATTGAATTACCTGACACTAAGTCAGAAACGATTGCTAATCAAATTATTAAATCACTTCAAAACCTGGATTTTTATTTAAATCTACTGAGAAGCCAAGGGTACGATGGAGCTCCCTCGATGAGTGGCCATGTTAAAGGGGTCCAGTCAAGAATTAGAGAGCTTTATAGCAAAGCTCTTTATGTTCACTGCAGTTCACATTGCCTGAATTTGATGATAACTGAGGCATGTGAAATTAGAGACATCCGGAACAGTTTAGGTAAAAATATTTTGATTTAATTGAAATTTATTAGATTTTATTATGTATTATAGATATCTTTATATAATTTTTATATATTTTTCAAAATTTAGAAACAATATCGTCGGGTTGCGACTTCTTTACCCCACCCAAGAAGAGGGAGATTTTTACCCAAACGTTCGATGAAATTGATTCAAAAAATTCAAAAAAAAAATTAAAAAGATTTTGTCCCACAAGATTCATTGAAAGACAACAATCGGTGAAGGTTTTCATCGAGTTATATGAGGTTATTTTTGCGGCACTGGAATCATACATATTACACAAAGATAAAGATTCCGCAGATGCGGAAAATCTTTTACAGGCTATTACGAAGCCTCAATTTTTAATTTCTATTCAATGTGTTTATTTTTTATTTAATTATACATATGATTTTAGCAAAATGTTACAAAAAATTGATTTGGATTTAAGTGAGGTTATTAATAGGGCAAAGGATATTGTTGAAATATTAACAAATATCAGAGATAATGTGGATGAAAAATTTCACGAAATATATGAGAAAGTAAAGGAGATAGCTAATATGTTTGGGATTGAAATTTTTAAACCTAGAGTAGTTTCTAGACAATCGAATCGCTCAAATATTGATGCATCTACGATTGAGGATTTTTATAAAATTAACATTTTTATTCCACTTATTGATACATTTTTATTTCAATTAAAGGAAAGATTTATAAGTCACAATTTTATTTTAAAAAGCTTTTATTTTCTTTTGCCGGTTGAGTCTGAATTGTTGATTACACTTGAAACGCGAGAGGATATTAAGAACATCTCAGAGTTTTATTCTGATGATTTATTAGGGTCGTATGATAAGTTACTTTGTGATGTCGAATTTTGGTATAAAAATGTACTCTTTGAGACCAAAAAATGCTTTGCAGGCCCTTTCCATGTGTAATTGCATTTTAGATTCCCTGCCCAATATCAAAACATTATTTTTTATTTTAGCTACTTTACCGATTAGTACCTGCACTAATGAAAGGTCTTTTTCAACTTTGAAAAGGTTAAAAACCTATTTAAGAAATAGCACCGGTAAAAACCGTTTAAATGGATTAGTCCTATTAAATATTTATAAGGAGATTATTCTAGATAAAAATTTGATTCTAGATGAATTAGCCAAATCTCAGAGAAAAGTAGACCTCTCTTTATAAATTCAAATCATATAATTGTAATATTTTCTTAGTCATAAAATTTTTAAATGTAAAACTTAATTATAATGAATTTTTAGTCATGATATTTTTATACTATATTTAATAATAGTATTGCACCTACAATAAGAATTATTTATATAATATACTCATTTGTATTAAATATAACTGTTAAATTATATTTTTTTAAATTGCATACAAGAATTACTTATATTTTATTGTAATTTTATTTTTTTAAAATATAGATATTTACAATCAATTTTTAAAATAGTAATCTGTATAAAATTTCTAATTTTGAAATTTATTTTTTGTATATAAAATAAACACATAGTTAAATAAAGGGTTTATACTAAATAAAATTGTTAAATTGTATTTTTTTAGCAAGAATTACATATTTTATTGCAATTTTATTTTTTTAAAATATAGTTATTTACATTCAATTTTTAATATAATAATCTGTATAAAATTTATATATTTTGAAATTTATTTTTTTATATATTATTAAAATAAATACATAGTTAAATAAATAAAGTTAATAATAAATTTAATATCTGCAAAATATTGTTATATGCAAAAATTTAATTAAAATAATTATTTTTAACATAGAATAAGATATATTGAGTTGATCATAAAATTGGAAGGTTTGGGGGGAGGCAAATTTTTTTTACATCGAATAGATTGAATTAATATACAATTTACTAAACATTGATAACATTTTCAAAATAATGCTTTCAGACGCTTATTAATTATAAATTTGGCAAAAATTTTAATTCTAATATTTTTTAATATTTATGCTGGCCTGGGTATAATACACAAAATATTGGCAAATTTTGATAAGGGGGTTTGGGGGCGAAGCCCCCAAAAATTTTTTAAACCCCCCCCCCCCCCATGGATCAATCCTGGCTACGCCACTGCTCACTGTCTAGTAATTTATAAAAAAATTTCTTAGTAATGAATATTATTTATTGATATTATTTACCACAAAGAGAATTTCAAATAAAAATGAAGGATTGGTGGTTTATATAAATTAAAAACTCGGCTTAAATTATTTATATTAAATAAATAAAAGAAATTTTATAGTATAATAAATTACTCAAAAAAAGAAACGCGTTACCGTTACCTCTAGAAAAGGTAACTAATGGCGTTCCTTTTTTTAATAAAGGTAACGACGTTACTTTACAGCAATTTAATTATACTAAAAATGCTATTTAAAAAGGTCAAATCTTAATTTTTCTAATAAATAATCATGAATAGCTTAAAATTTGTTTATTCATTATTTAGTGGATTACATTTTATAGTTTTAGTTTTAAGCTTAATAACAAATATACCTTTAATTATATTAAGAATGTATTTTTTAACTTTGAAGTAATTTGCTATTTACGAGTGAGCGTTTATATAATGTATTTTACTAAACATTTAATGTATATTTATTATCTGCATTATAATTTATCTGCTGTTTTACTTGAATATAATAGTATAAAGAAAATTGTTGGTTACAATTTATGCATTATTAATTCCCGTTTATTCCCATTTGAAAGTTACTTCAATAAAAATTCCAGAGAATTTTCAAACCCTAATCACAAGTGATTACAAAGAATCAAAAGAAATAATCAACGCAGCATTAGCCATTCAAATATTGAATTTCCCTGGCCAATGTATAAAACCTATTTTAAAATGCATTCCTATTTCATTGATTTGACTTAGATACAAATGGAAGAAAATTTAAATTATAAAAATAATTAACACAGAGAAGTTAATGAACTAACAACGTTTCCAACTAATTGTAAATAGATAACTTATGAAAAAAATAAAATAATGTATCAGCGTCCTATAGGTGATATGATTATGAATGATAAAAATTTTGAATTTTTTTAAAAATGAATGTCAGGATTATAGTGTATTTAAGTCATACCAATATAAAATTGTTAATAAAGTATAACACCATACTGTCGTCAGGTAACCCGATAGAAATTCTTAGTGCAGCTAAAAATGTCATTATAGATAAATGGGAATGACTTAATAAAGAATATTTTGAGAACATTCTATTATTGAAATCAAACAATTATTATTAATAAGCAATTTTTTTTTAGCTCACTTAAAATTTGAATTTTAACAAGGTATGGCAATATACCATATCATAAGTTCTTTTTACCCCCCCCCCCCCATCCACAATCTCTTTTAGAAATTTCCATAAATAACAAATAATCATGGATATCAAAATATAAACAGTTTTGTACAAATTCCCAATAAGTGTTTCCCATCTTAAACAATTTGATAAAAAAATTGAAGGTGAGAATTATGTTGATCCTTATTTGCAAAAGTCATAGTGTAAGAAGAATTATATTGTGTAGCTGTTATGGTGGATAATCAACCATTTCAATCCTAATCTCCTTAGTAGTAATATTATCCTATTTCATAATACTATTACCTACTAATTTAGTGCCTAGACAAAATTATAGCTTAATAATAACAATAATCTTACAAAAAAGTAATTTGAACAAAACATTAATTTTAATTAATGTAAGTAACAGTGAAATTATTCCCCAACTTTTAAATATTAGTCACATTGGGCCTTTACAACCCCCCCCCCTTTCTTGTATGCTATTTTCCCTTTTTGCCCACCCTTCAAATGCATTTTTGATAAACTCTATCCTTTAATTTATATATATTAACAAAGTAACTGTAGATTGTAAAAGGAAGAAAGTATTCACCCCCAAAAAATAAAATGGGCACAGAGAATTGTAAACTACCAAGCTGTTATTTTAAAAAATATATAATATTATATTCAAAAAACTAATTCAACAAATTGATGCCCTTTGTTTACAAAAATTTTTTTCATGGAAACATGTATAGGAAACCACTTTGAAAAAACCATTCTGTTTAGAAATGGCGTAAGGAGGAAAAAAAAGAATTTAAAAAAGCAAAAAGAAAATCTCATTATGATCCGAGGACACTGAAAATTTTGATTTTGCAACTCTGTTCAATAAAGGCTTCTTAAATAAAAAAAGGTTATCACTAAAATGTTATAATTGTTGGACAATAAAAAAAAGAATTACATTCAAATATAGTCTTATAAGAGCCGAAACTTTGCACATATCTTGATTGATAACTTCAACACGATCATCAAGTAGTTTAACCTTTTTATCTATAAAGGATGCTGCTTCATTAAGTTTCATTTGGGCAAATAAACCAAGGCCTATATCAATATATATGTACTCTGCATTTTTTCTAAATATAATAGAAATAAAAATGTGCAAAAAAATTTAAGTTTACATTTTAGCTTTCATGTAGAAATTGCAGCCAATGTCTGTGCGTATTTTGATTTCTTTCATGTCATTCGCCTTAAGTTATTTACAATGATTATGTAATTTTTTTTATATAAATACAAATTTTTAAGTGTCGATAACATTTTTTTTTTGGAATGTATTACTCTTGAACATTGTTAAATGATGATATATCATTGGGTCAATATATTAATGTTTCTTAGAAAATATTGTAATCTACTCATTAGTGTTATTTAATCGATCCATATTCAAAATAAAAATGTGAAAAAATAATTTAAAAGAATATTTTAATCCTTTGGCACCAAGCATATGTTATAATTAATATAAAAAACAAGTAAAAAATTTATATTAATTTAAAAGATTTTGTTTTGGTAATTCCCAATTTTAAAAGTATTATAGTTTAATAAATTATATTTGTTAATGTGGTTTGTCCCTGGTCAAACTGCAAACCATTATTTAATATATAACTTTATAGATAATATTATGATCAAATATTACCTGGAGTGTTTGAATCATATCTTTGGTTTGTACATAATTTTCAATTTTTCCATTAATTTTCTCTCTAGCTTCATTAAGTTTTCTAAATAAATAAACCATTCCAATAAATTTAACATATGATAGGATTAATTTTTTAACATTTATAATTAATTTAAATATTTTTTAAGTTATTATATTCATTATAAGTCAAGATTTAGGTTATGTTCCTCTCAACCTATATTAATCATATTTATACAGTCTAGTAAATCGTTAACATTTTTGAATATGTCAATATATTTTAGCTACTTAAGATTTGATTTTAGTTTATCATTGATAAAATATTCATATTGGATTACACTTTTTTGGTCCATCTTTAATAATTTTTTAAAAAAACCGATTTATTAAGGGTTTATCAAAGATGGAATTTTTGAAAATCTAACTTTCAAAATATTATTATCTCTTAGAATAACAAAAACAAATTCAGATAATTTGAATAATATAATAAATAATCTAAACGATTTGCCGCATGCTGCATTTCCGAATATAAATTTTTTTTAAATTATGATAATAACAAAATAGAATGATGGTATATGATATATATATATTTTTTTAATAGTTAGATAATTAATTATAATTTTCTTTCTCTTACAAATTTAATGTAGCCATAAGGAGAGGAGCCATCTGCCTCTTTATCCTACAGGGCTATGAAATATAGTGTTAGGTGTTAAGGATTATAGAAAAAATTGTCTTAGAAGGTTATATCTAGAAGGATTTATTAACTTTTTTTCTCATAAAATCTCTAATAATAATTATTTTTTCTTTGTTTATCCTTTATTTTTCTTGTTTACATTTTTTAGAGTTCTCAAAATGGAATTAATAGTTCTTTGTAGAAAATTATTTGTTTGCCTTACTGTTTTCTAATTTTTTAAATTTTAAGTTTTCAAAAAAAATATCTTATAGCAAAAACCGGCTGTTTAAGATATTTGAATATAAAAATGACATTAGACAGCCATAAGATTTATAGCCTAGCCAATAATAGCAATTTCCTAACCCTGCATTCACAGTTATTACAAATGAGCGGGGTAGTGTAAATGATTTTAAATTAATTTTTGTATACTTCATCACGAATTCACTCTAACTCTTAATGCAGACAAACACAAAAGTGAGAAAAAAAAGCAGAGCGAATAACTATTTTATTCAATAGTTTTTCTTTATTAATTTTTTGAATAATCATTTTCTATTATAATTTAGATATAAAAAGAATCCTAATTGATAAGAAAGAAAATTATCTAATTATATGTTAATATGTTAAATTATATTAATAATATCTTTTTACCTTGAATCCAATATTAAAAATAAGTCATAATTTATTTTGTAATCAATTTATCCAAAATAATTTTTTTTTTCTCTTTAGCTTTCACCTTTTCTGGTGGTAAGCTCCTTCAACATTTATCTCCACTTTATGTTATTCATACAATCTCTTTTATCTAATTTATAATTCTTAATATTGGCTCTAACTTTATGGCCCCATTGAAGTTTTGGCCTTCCTCTTTTACGTTTGCCCATCACTTCCAAACTCTCAACCTTATTTCCTATGTAGTTCATAGGCCTTCTCCTTGTGCGCCCATACCACCTAAGTCTGTTTACCATTAACTTAGTCTTAATGGGCACTACCTTTAAACTACTTAGTATTCTTGTACTGCGCACTTTATCCTTTCTTATTACCCCAGCAATCATCCTCGGCATTCTCATCTCCATAGTTTGTAGACTTCTCTAGTCTGATTCTTTGGTTGGCCATATTTCCGAACTACATAGAATAGTTGGTTGTACTATAGAACTGTAATTTTTCCCTTTAATTTGTGTGGGATTCTTTTGTCAAATAACATTCCAAATAAAGATCTCCACTTTAACCACCCTTGATTAATTTTACTCTTTATCTCTTTTTCTATTGTGCTGTTTGTTTGTATAGTGGAGCCAAATATTTGCAGCTTTCAATTGCCGATATCTGCTATTCATTTATATCAATACTCTCTGTTTCATCTCCTCCTATCACCATTACTCCGTCTTTTCTCTATTTACTTTTAGTCCATGCTTTTCTAGGATATTTATCCAACTCACTAATCTTTCTTTCATTTCATCCTTGGATTCGGCAAGTATCACAATATCATCTGCAAATATCATATTCCACGGGATTTTTTGAGGTATAGACTCTGCTAATACATCTATTACTGTAATGAAGAGAAGTGGGCTGAGAGCCGACTCTTGATGAACTCCTTCGGCTATTGTGAAGCCTGCTGAAGTACCTGTTGTGCTACGGACCATTGTTGTATGGCCCATATACATATCCTGTATTATTCTTATATATTTTTCGGGAACCTTTTTGTGGCGTAGCGCCCACCAGAAAAGTCTTCTTGGGATTTTATCGAAGCCCTTTTCTATATCGAGATAGACCATGTTCCCTGTATTTTTCACTCATTTGCCTAATTGCGTGGATAGCATCAGTTGTTGATCTACCAGGCATGAAGCCAAACTGAGTCTCTCCTATTTCGATTATGTCTCTTAATCTTTTTTCTATTATTATTTTCGTATAGTTTTACACAGTGTGACATTAGTTTTATGCCCCTGTAATTTTGACAATTATGTCGATCCCCTTTGAAGATAGGAGCTAAATAGCTCTGCCTCCATTTTTGGGGAACCTCTTCATTTCCAAGTATTTTATTGTACAGATTTGTGAGATGTATTCCATCATCTCCTAGTGCTTTAAGGCTTTCTATTGGAATATCGTTTGGACCCCTAGCTTTGTTGTTTTTCATATGCTTGAGGCATGTGATTATTTCTTGTTCTGTTATAGGTTGTACAAGGTTTTGATATGGGAAGTGTTCCATAATAATATATACATCCAAAATCATAACTGTATCTTCAAATACAAAATAGCGATCCTTTCAAATAACATATATTCACAATCTTTTCCCATTAAAGTACAAAATGAATTCCTTTGCTGCCACTCTATTTATTTCTTTTACATAAAGTAAATAAAATACATTATGAACTACAGGTTCCACTATTTATTTTACATATTTGTATTTCTTTTTCTTAACAAATATGACAAGATATTCAATAAAATTTAATATTTTTATTTTAAAAATATTACTATTTACTTTCCTAGTGTACAATTCAAATACTATACGTGTTTACAATCATATGTTATTTGATTGAGGCGAAGATATCATTTGGACATGGATAGCAAGGATAGAACGTTTGAATTCGGTGTCACGATTAAGGCATTACAGTCCCGTATAGTAACTAATAATTTTAATTTGTTTTAAAATATTTGGATATTTAGATTAATGGATTTGATAACTCAAAGCCGCACTCAAATTCCCTTGGCAAGCAAGCTAATATGTTTGGGCGTATTGCTAAGTATTTATATTAAAAAAACATCTATATTTTTATTTACAGAGTTATTGGAAAAGATTTGACAAATACCTACTCAAAATTAGAAAAATTGACATTGCGTAATGATTTTTAATTATTCTCGATTATAATATTAGCAAAAATATTAGAAATTCTGTATAATATATTTACTTAATAATAAAATTAAAATATTACGCCCGTTTTTAAAGATAATACTCCAAAATGAAGATCGTTATTATTTTTATAATTCTTAAATATATTCAGTTGCATCTAACAAATCTCTTTTTGATGATAAGTCCCAAGAAATTCAGGAACTATCTTCTATTATCAAACAAGATATTTCTTCTATGAATTCTCAACTAATTGAATTGCAAAAAGTACATTGATATAAATTTATAGCAATATAAAAGTAACCAGAGTTTGAAAAAAACATCTTAAGCAAAAATCTTTGGAGATTTTTTTTAAAGATTTTTTATATAAAAATTACAAAAGATTTACTTGTAAAAAATTTTTTTAAAAAAGATTTTGGCATTTTTGATCAAAAATATCTCTTCTATAAAAAATAATCTTCAAAAATTTAGCTTATGAATATTTTTATCTCTGCAAATAACATTGCATGTTATTAGCCCTCACTAACTAAATTTTAATTTTATTAATAAGTTTTTAAAGCAACAAAAAGCCCATCAAACAAGAATCAATAAACATGTAGAAAAGCATTCCAATTCCATATTGTATACCCTTCAAGTATAAAAGTGATTTATTTTTTTAATATGCTAAATCATATTCAACAGTTTCTATAAATTTATAATCTTGGTTTTTATTTAGAGTAAACTAGCTTCTATTTCAAATGACTTCAAAAATATATTGGAGATGCGTTCTGAGGTTAATATTATTTATTTGTTTATACATATTTTTATGAATATAAAATAAATGATACATATATTATACATTTGTATATAGATTATTTGAAATATAAATATGATTTATTATTACTTACAAAACGTTTTAATTGAAAAAGAAAATTTTTTAAACTGCTTATATTATATTATACAAAGTAAATATAATGGTTTATTTATTTTTTAAATATTTATTTAACTAATTTTAGAACCTAAAACAACAAAAAACACGTCAAAGTAAGATAGTCGAATGTGATACAAATACTAAAAAATTTGCTCACAGTCTCCACCGAGACTATGGAGAAGGATCGAATATGGTCCCTACATCTTCCACTGCTCCTTTCATGCGATTTCGTAAGTATGGTACATACAAAAATTAAGAAATAACCCCAATTTCATATCACTAAAAATACATAATTACTAAGATGCATTTTCTTTCTTTCTTTCTTTCTATTCCCAAATATAAAATTTAATAATAATTTCCATAAAATAGATAATAATTATATAATATGTTTAAACGTTTCCTATTATACCAATTTAAAGTCATCATTTGAATAATTTAATTTTTCTATTATAACAATATTCAAAATAAAGATAAATAACAAGATAATAAGTTCTTGTCTAAATACAAAATAATAAAATTCAAGTTAATATTAATATTGATTAGTTAAGTCAAAATTTCAAATAAAAAGATAAACGAATTAGAATAATATAAAATATCTTGAAATTGATATTATAACTAATACCTATATCTAAATCCAACATTTATTGCTTATTTATAATTAACACTCATAAAATTAAATACTCTATTTTTATAAAATCCAATATATTATGAACCAATTTTAACTATTCAAAATTCCTTGCTAAAATATCATTATTTTTGCTCAGCTATATTTAAATTGTGTTACATTCATCTTTGCCAATATAACGGCAGTATAGTGGCATTTAATAAATAAGATCCTGGTGCATATTCTTTGATATTGATTTTAATATCATTTCAAATTTTTTTCTTTAACGAATGCTTTGTTTTACATGGCTTTTTTAAAGCCCTTGCTAGTAACCCCTATATACATTGGCGTACACAGCGGGGGGGGGGGGGGGGGTGGACAAATCCCCCCCCCCTTCCAAAGCCAAAAAATGCAGATGCCGGATATATTTTTTAAAAATATTATTGTTTATATTAATTTATATTTGTTTCATATTAAATATATATTTAATTACATTTATTATCACATTTATCTACTAAGTTATTTTATCAATTAATTTCGATTTCAAGTTTTCCGGCGTAATATTTACTTATTATTTTCAAATTTTTAGTGGCGTAATATTTATCTACCATTTTCAAATTTCTAGTCAAATAATTATTATTTCTGAAACTTCTTGTCCAACAGGGAAAAGGAAATTGCAACCTTGTCCAACGAGATAGAGTCTCTGCCATCAAGCATTAACAGCTTTTAAGGAGTTAGAAGAGCCAATTATTTGCTATTACTGAAATATCACAATGGCCTGAAAGAAATATTTCCTCAGAAGCAAGAAAATTATTGGATTCAATGCTTATTCTAAATTTTATTTCTCATTAGAATGTATTATTTAATTTTACAACTATTTTAAGTATTACTTTTCAAAAACATGACATTGACTTGATTAAGAAGATTAGAATAGCGGAGAGCATTTTATCAGAACTCAAGGAAATTAGGGCTAATGTTGAAGAGTTTGATATTTTTTTGTTGAGTCAAAATCAGAGCTATACGTGTTTAATATTTGTCTCCCTTGACTTGTAGCAAGGCAAGCTCATCGTTAAAACATTAATATAGGCTAAGTAGAAGAGTATATCTTAAATACAGATACATTTATAACCCAAATAAATGAATTTTTAATTCATCATGCAGCACTTACTAATCTGCAAATATTACTTCCACAAAAGCCTTCCCAACCTTTTTCAGATGGTGATAGAAAAAAAAAATTTGTTAGATTTTTATTATGAAGATGTTAAAGTATCTTATGGCCTTACTAGCTGAATAACTTTGTTTATAAGATTAACAATGGTTGATATAGTCCCAAAAAATGCTATGGATGCTCTGCATTATTTCAAACACATTTTAGATTAAATTCCCAATGTATTAAAAGGGTTTATAAACTCTTCCCATTAGTTAACTAATGAGAGAACATTCTCTTTTTTATGAAGAATAACAGAGGCCTGCAGAAGTACCATTTGCAGGGCACGGCCCGGATTTTTTTTAAAGATTTTTTAATGCCTAGCCTGGGGTTTTTTTGAAAAATTTTCAGGCCCGGCCCGGATTTTTTTAAAAAAATTTTAGGCCCGACTCGGCTTTTTTTAAAATAAAATTTTCAGGCCCGGCTTGGGTGTTTTTTTAAAAAAATTTTGGGCCCGGCCGGGTATATTTAAAAAATTAAGATACTGTCCAGCCCGGGGGCCGGGCCTGCAGGTCTCTGAAAAACATACCAAGAAGTACAACATCTGAAAGTAGATTGAAAGGTTTGGATCTTTTGAATATTCATAGGCATTTGACGACAAGCTAGGATGAGATAATTGAAAAATTAGCTCAATCACAATGAAGTTTGGATTTTACATTGTAAATATATAACATATAAAATGCAATTATTCCTAAGAAACTTTTTGTGTATAGGCTCAAAAATTCAAATTTCTATTATGGGTCATTTAAGTGATTCTTTACATATAATTTTTTTATAATTCACATAAATTTAAATTGTGTATTAGAAATAGTTATTAGTCCTTATAAATTTATGCTTGATATTTTTAAAAAACAATAATATTTCTTAAAAAATTTTATTATCCCCCCCCCCAAACCAAATTCCTGCGTACGCGCCTGCCTATATATTTATAATTGCATTTAAAATATGATCATTTTAAGGTTTTTATATTATTAGTGATATGACAAAGGAAATCTATTTTACTGGAAGATGTTTTCTTTGAGCCATAATAAGTGAATTGAGGGGATTAGTACAACTAATTTTTCAAGCCTGGCCTGAAATTTTTTTAAAAAAATTTGCCCAACTTAATCCCGAACCGTAATTTTTTAATTTGTTCCAAAAGGCCAACCCTAAATGAAAATTATTTGTCCACTCGACCCAAATTACTTAAATATAGAAAAAATGAGTGCTTGTTTTTTTTGGAAATTTTTTTAAATATACCACTTTATTTCACAAAATTGAATGATATTATATTTAGAAATTTAACACGATATAGTCCGATATTAATTTTTTTTAAAAAAAATATTAATACCGACTTAGCACGATACTATGATTATTGATAAATGGAATATTTCCTAGAACATTTACACTCATGCACTTCCATATTATGATATATGTAAATTTAACCATTATTTATAGGTAATCAAGAAGGTAGGTTTCTGCATATGTATTTATTAACCTATTATAATTATCTCTTCCTATTTAAAAAAAATATAACCAAAAGATTATAAATTGATTAAATTTTATTAGAATTGTATAAAATTAGAAAAACGGGGTTGTGAACCTGGTAAAAACGAGGTTCAAAGTAAAAAAATTTAAGTAAGTTGTACGAGGGTAATATTTTTGAACCCTGGGTTGGTTCCAGGTTCAACTTGGGTTTAGAAATATTTGAATGTTATATAAATTATATTTTGCATATTTCTTGATTATTAGAAATTCAATTTTTTAATTTCTTCATAATTAAAAATATAATTTTTATTTTATTTATAGGCAAAATATATTTAAAAATACAAAGGATAGTCATATCAATTTTAAAAATTTTAACTATCCTCCAAGAGTTCTTCACTCATCCTCTATCTTTACATTGAAAGAATTTTAAATGTGAAAAAGATCAACGCTAACTATTAAATATATTTATATGGAAATATAACTAATTAACTTGGGTTGCAAGAACAGCAAATAAGATTTTAGATAAAATATATAAATCAGGGTGTAGCTTAACAGACTTACAAAAATAAATATTTTTCTTCTTATCCAATCTTTTAAAATAGCCAAATCCACTAATTATCGTTCCAATGCTTTTCTCTGCAATCCTTTGCCCTTTTTAAAGTATTTTCTTCTGCCTTTGTTTTATCAATTTCTTTAGATCAGCTTCTTCAATAACTTCATCCAAACTATTATCATCAGATAAAATCGTTTGGATATGACTTTAATCCGACTCTTAAATTAACAAAATGCCTTTTGGCACTAATCTTATCATCATCACTAAGTAATATCTGTAATATTTAAGGATTTATACTCAATATAAATCAAGAATAATTAATTTAATAAACTTGTAATTAATTTTGGGTCCATGTATACCACAGCTATGAGAATGCCATTTTTGATAAACCTTTCTTCTCTCCTCTTAGAATAGAGTAATTGAGAAAAGGGGCTTGAATTTTTTTCCTAGTTCAAGATGGCAGGTTAACCATTTTAAACAAAAATCTGTAAGTGTTAACTGTTCATGTTGGAAACGTTTGGTTGCGATTTTATTGGTTTTAAAATTCTTACAATTCAAATTCGGGCAATAAATAATCTGATAGCTCTGAAAAGAAATCTTCGATATTTAATTTGAGTAAAATCAGCCTATCTGGAATAATTTTTGATAAGTGGGATGCCTTAATAACAAATTTAAGCTCCTAGCCTTTGCAAGAATATCCACAGTGGATGATAATTTTATTGCATCTTGAAGTGAGCAGGAGTGTGTGAGCTGCACAACGTGCATGAATCTGATAAAGCCATTGATAATGGTATTTTTTATATAATCGATAGCATTTTTATTCACATTTATATTTTACCATCCGCTGATTCATCACCTATGTCATAGTCAATTATTGCAAGAGCTTTATAGCTTTAATAAAATTTGCACTATTGTAATTATATAAATATTCATTTTAAATTTTTGTAAAGTTTTTACTATATTCTCTTTCATATATTCTGTACTTTTTTCTTTTAGCTTTAATTCCAAGAGTTCTCAAAATTACAATAGACTTTGATATAAATCGAGTATTTAAACTAAAATTGACTCTAGTCGTTGAACACCCTCAATTTTTAACCTTATTAGTTTTCCTTCTACCTCTCTTGATATTTTGCCATGAATGGATTGGGCTTTTCTTTTAGGGTAAATTTTTTCTGTTAATAACTAAATTAAGCCCAGATAAAAGTGGATTTATCATATTTGAGACCCCGAATCCTCAATAATTGATGGAGGTTGATTATTTACAGTAACAAGTTCTATGATAGAACTCATCAAATCATTAGATGTTAAAATTATACTTTTGATTATTCTGGCAAAAAAAAGCTTCTATATGTATTTATTATATTTATCATATTAAATGTGTAAAACATGATATGGTAAAAACTAATCT